AAAAGTGGACTCAATTTGCACTATTTGTGGCAGTCTGCAACCCCCCTCCCTCTTTGACCTATCCATACATTCTTGCACTCTAAACCAACCTTTCCCTGCTACAGTCCCAGTACTTTTTCCCTTAGCTTTTTCAGAGGAAGCAAATCGTTTTATCATCCAGCCCAGGGGTAGGCAACCTAAGGCCCGGGGGCCGGATGCGGCCCCCAGAGGTCTTTGGACCGGCCCCAGGCCAGTCCTGCTGCCGCCCCCCACTGCCGCCGCCGCCCACCATGATGATATTGATTATTGTTGATATTGTTCTTGGGGTTTTCTTGACAAAATCTCCACAGGGGTTTTGCCACGGCTTTTCTGGGGCTGAGAGAGTGTGCATGCATACTTTTTTTTTAATTTTTAAATTTTATTTATTTATTTATTTATTTATTCATTCATTCATTCAGTTTTGGTGCTTCGGCCCTCCAATTGTATGAGGGACAGCAACCTGGCCCCTGGCTCAAAAAGGTTGCCTACCCCTGATTCCAGCCTCTGCAAACTTTCAGTGCTGAAGCTGGTTTCTGTGCCAGCTCTTCAGCATCAGAGTTTCTCTGCATGAGCTCTAAGTGTGTGTATAACATGCAAAGGCCATAAGGGCTAACCGTAACATTTGGCAGAGTGGAGCAGCCACCCCAAAACAGCAGATTTGGGGTGGCATGAAAGGGTGGCTCACTATTAGCTATTTAATTTATTTTAATTGCATATTTACTGACAGAGTGGGGGACCGATATTTGTGACATTTTCTTCCTAGTGTGTCAATAATTTGGCTGGCTTGAGTAGGTGTAGGGTACCATTTGTTGCTCCTCCTCAGGTAGCACATTATCTTGGGACAAAGGGATATTTTTCATTTCCCCCTCTTATTGAAGTCAGTCAGAACTGGCCAGATGACTGAAAGGACCTGAGGCAAATATGATACTGGGGGTTCTGCTTCTGTGCAAAAGCCTGGAATATTGCCTTTTTAAAAGGCACTCGTTGGATTCTCTGTTCATCAGACCTGATCTTCTAATTTCTCATTGTGTTTAAAGTCCCTTGAGTTACTTAATACTCTGATCTTCCAACAATTAATTGTAACTGTTGCTGCAGTCCATAAAGTAACTCAAGGCCTAAACAGACTGCCAGAAATAGTGCACATTAAATTGAGGCACTGCCCTGGCTCAGTGCTAGGGAATCATGGGAACTGTATTTTTTTCTGGGACATTGAGCCTTCTCTGTGAGAGAGCTCTGGTGCCACAATAAATTACAGTTCCCATGATTCCCTAGCACTGAGCCAGGGCAGTGCCTCAATTTAATGTGTACTATTTCTGGCAGTCTGCTTAGGCCCTCAGTAGATTACTCTTTACTAAACACATTGTACCATTGAAAGATACATGAAAATGCTGTCTGGTTCTCTTCATCTCTGAGACATGCAGAGGATCACACAGTCCGCCTCTAAATGCTTCCTCATAGCTCACATTTATCCAGGCCAAGTGCATACCCTGTGCTGCTGTTTGGAGCAGCCAGCCTGGAAAGGCAGCCCCCGCCCCTTAAATTCTCTTTTTCTTTCTGACAGTGAGAGCAGTCTCTTTTATTTGGGCAGAATAGAGGAAGGCAGAAAATGCAAACTAGCATTTTTTTTTAAAATCTATCTAACGTGAATGTCTGGTGCAGCTCATTTTTCAGTTTCCTCCCTCTCTTTCTCTTGGCATAAAATAAATTTTCCTCAAAGAATCAGCATAAAGTGACCATATATATGAACCTCCATCCTCTTGTTCCCAGTGTTCAACTGGTTCAGAACACATCCAGTGATACAGAAAAAAACTGAATGGTAGTGAATTATAGTCCTGGCTGTTAAGGGCAAAAAAGTAATAACCTTCCCATTTGTTACTGTAAAAGGTAACTAGTTACCAAAGTAACATTAAAAGTAAAATGTTTCTTCCAATTTCTGCACTGCCCCCTACAAGGACTCTCATATATGGTGGTCTCTGGTGAACAATATGGCAAGATCAGGAAGCAGGGCAGTGGTATGTACAGGACCTGAGGAAGGGGATGGACTTATTTTGTGATGGCAAATCGCCCCATTTACCACACCTTGGTAGCCTGCGTAATGACAGTTTTGCTTAATACTTCTATTCATCAGCTAGTAAATATTCATTACAGGATTGTATCCTTAATCCTCTTTGTATAAGCATATGCATGCATGTTGGGTATATACTCACATATGCAGGTGTGTATAGAGATGCAGTACATATACATGCATAGGTATACTTTAGAACCATGTTTCAAAGCCATATGTAAAATAAATTTTCCTGATTTAAAAGGGTAAAATGGTGGTAAAAAACATTTTGGCCTTGATATAATAAAGAGCTGGCATTCTAACCTTCTTCACCTGGATAGCATGGACAAAGAGCATTATTTAAATGTTCATTTTGATTTAGCAGTACAATTAAGAGTAGGCATAGAAGAAGTAGGCAAAAAAGCAGAGCTATGAGAAAGGCAAAAGAGCATCACCCAGTCCATACAAGCAACCTATTATGCATTTTAATAATTCAGTGATTTTGTGCTTAATTGGCTGGAAAGTAAATAATATCTGCATAAGTGTAGTATGCCATTATTTATCTATGGCAGAAGCGGAGGTTTAATTAAGACAAAAGTCCATG